CATCCAAGCTTCTTCATTGCTTGAGCTATATCACTTTCAAGTTTAATTACTTGAACTAAGACATTCTTGAATTACACTCGGGATGAGCTTAGTTTGAACGCACACAACACAATTTTTAATTTGAATTATTTTGATAACCCACAGGATATCTAGAATGAGAAGCTGAGAAGAATGAGAAGAAGGTTGTGTTCGTTGTGTTACGGACCTATGCTATATTTCCCTATTTTGTCTTGGGAAAATATAATGGAGCATGTAATCCATTATATTTTCCCTAGATCCATTATATTTTCCCTAGATCCATTATATTTTCCCTAGATCCATTATATTTTCCCTAGAAATATTTAGAAAAGTCTCCGCTAGTGTAAACCCTATGGGCGTTTAGAGATGGACCACCAAGTACTCGCAAGTTTACGCGGCTGGCAGCCGCGAAAACTTTGGAGGCCCACCATTGGAAAATTAGGCAATTTTGAGACGAATGACTTTGGACTGGGGCTTCAGTCACCTTCTTCTACACGTTTCACTGAGTAAGTCCGAAATTTTGGAAAAAACCCTGATAATACCTTTAATACAATTGTGGTATGCGGCATATTCATTTTATCATAGCTTTGAGTCAAATAATCAACAAATGCCTATAGTGAGTCATGGGTTGAATGAAATAAGTTCAATAAAAATGTCGTGTGAGTCATGAGTTGATTTGAATCGATTCATCAAAATGTGAGTCATGAGTTGATTCGAATCATTCCGTTGGCTAGTTGCTCGAGTCATGAGTTGATTCGAATCATTTTATCGAGGAACTTGATGAGTCATGAGTTGATTCGAATCAATTAAATTTAACATCATGAGTCGTTTGATGAATCGATTCAAATTTCCAGACTCAAACAAAGAATCGACTCAAAAAAATTTTGAGTCGTTTACAAGTCTGATTTCCGGTGGCTGTGGAACACCCAGTGATGCTGCCGGTTCCGGTGTGGTCGACCGCCCTGTATCACGCCCAATGGTGATGAGTGAGAGCGTAGCCGCGGTGGTTTCCTCCCACCGCCTCTGCGGCTTGCTCGCTGTGTCATCCTGCCTGCCTGTCCGGTCGGTTGCGTAGTAATACTGCATTGCGTTTTCCTGTCCTGTCAGCGGTCACGGTTTCGTCGTCCGTCCTGACTTCATGCTCTTCTGTCTGTCCGGCCGGCCGGCTGTGCTGTCCGGCTCGCATAGTGATGTCCTTTCCGGTTCTGTCTCGTTCGGCTGTGCCGTGCCTGTCCTGTCCGTCCAGCCGGCTCCGAAATCCGTTCCTCGGTCGCGGCGGGCCTGGGAAGGCCGGCCGACGCGCCGGTCGGCTCGCTCCCACCAGCTGGGCCGACCGGAACTCGTTCGTCTGACCTGGTCACGCACCGACACCGTTCCAAGCGGGTCGCCGGACCGCCGCCGAGCCGAGTGGAGCCGCTCGGACCGGCCCGGGCCGTCATCAGGCTCAGCGTTGGCAGGTGACCTGCAGTCAGCACTGGACCGGCGTGGTGGCTTCCTGACAGCGACTGTTACGTTACAGTCTAGTGGAAATTCCATCGCCGAGAAAGCGCACGTTGCGTACGAGGAAGTTATGCGCAACATGCTGGTATGAGACGATTCAGACGCAGTGTCATGTTAATTTCCAATCTGTTCAGCCGTGAAAGAAGAAGTTATTAGGTATCCTGTCCCTATGTATACAAAATCGCATGCCTACTTCGGAAGCGGACACGCGGCTCATCGCCAGCTCCCTCTGACGATTATGCGATGGACGTCCAGCCCGGGAGGAATAGTCTGCAGCCCTATAGCAGTCGGACAGCGACGTGACCTCCCACCTGGCCAGACGACCTCGCCCGGACCCAGCAGCCGCCCGCTTCCGCGTGGCATGTTTTTGCTCGCCCCGTGTATCTGGCCTTGTGTACCGACACTCGCTCGGCCGGCCTGCCAGCGGCGGCGGCAGTGGGGAGCAGTCCATCTCCATCTCCATTGGCACAGCCGGCTCGACGAGTGGTAACTGGATAATACTCTGACTGAATCAGCAATTGATTTGTGGTGTTATCGCGTTAGTGCCGGGTGGCGGCTCTCGCCAGTCGGGCGCAGTCCCCTAGTTTGGCTTTCAATTAGCTGCTCGAGGGTGAGGGTGCCCGGTCCCCCAGTGTAGTGACTCACCGTCATCAGGGGATCTCCCCACCCCGTCAATGCGTGTGTTCAATGACGCACACCCGCCGGCGTCATGCCGCCATCCCCCCCCCCCCCCGTTTCCTGTAGCGAACTGTGGGAGGAAGGAACAGGAGAGAGGGAGAGCCCGCCAGAGACCCGCCCCGACCGCGCCGGCCCATTTCCTTCCTAGCAGATAAGGAGTGATTGTCGACGTTTCAGTGGCCGCGTCGCGCCGACTTCCTGGGGCTGTTGTTGGTGTCGAGAGGCCACTGCTCCCTCGCAAAAGGGGCCTGGTTCGTTTCGCAGTCGGTAGTCTGTTCGGGAGCCCCAAACTCTGACTCACCGCCGTCGCTGCCAGCTGAATCTCCGGAGGTTGAGCGCCGGCCAGCCTCTGTCACGTGGCAAAGGTGACTGGGTGGGGACTGGGAGTCATCGGATGGCTCACTGGGATCGTGAACGTCGAACCTAATGTGGTCGGCGCGTCGGTCCCTTCCTCGAGACTGACTGACGACACGGGTGCCTCACCGCTAGCTGGAACGGGCGGCCTCCACGCGACCTCCCGGAACCTCCCCGAGACAGTGTTGCGGTGTGGAGGACCTTTGTTAGCGCCTTGCCGTGGGCTTTGTCGGTATGGTGCGCTGTGAGTCAACGTCACAGTCACCTTTTGGTGAGGAGGCGTATTTCCGAGGCACACGTTGTTACCTAGCGCGGGGCGTGACTCAGAGAGGCGGGTTTCCTGTCGTGTCTGACTCGAAATTGGCAGAATCGATTGGTTTTTTGGTTGAGATACTAGTATGGATATGTGAGCTAGCTCGAAACAGATATGCCTCTAGGCTATTACTGCACTCGCACTTGATGTGCGAGTCGTCCTGCCTCGCCTCTCATTCATTGATTCTGAGACGGTCGGACCTCCTCATTTCTCTGGTCCAGTACGACACACCTGCCTGAGGAGGTCGCCCACAGAGAGGAGGCGGCGCCGGGCGGGTCGCTTCCTGTTCACCTTGGACCCGTCTGGGTAGCCGGAGGGGCCAGCGGAGACCAGCTGCCCACATGGGATCGGGACAGCGGCCAGCGGCCGCCATCGGTACCGATTCAACCACAGTACTGCACCGCTGCTTCTGGAACGGAAATCCATTAGTGGGCAGAATTACGCCGGTGATTGCATTCATTTCGAGCAACATCATTGAATCCCGCTGAAGGCGAGCGGATGCGTAACGTTGTGAATTAGTGGCTTACAGCTTCTCATTCATGATCCATGCATAGCGCTAACTGCAGAGCGATCAGCGATGGCGACTGGTGATGGCTTTTTGATCGCGCGATGCATAGAACAGGTGGATATCTGCTTAGTGCTTTCTGGCCGCTCTGTTCAGCTCTCTGACTGCGAGTCGGCACCGTCAGCGTCCCAGAGGCGCTGTCTCGGTCGTCACGGCTAGCGACTGCAGTCGGCGGCTGTTTGTCACAGGTCACCGACCGACCGAGTGTGTGCCGCCGAGTGGCACGCACGCGACGCGGCTGCAGCGGCTGCCATCCGAGCCGCCCGGCCGGCCGCGCAGCTCCGAGTAACGGTGCCGCGTGCCGGCCGCTGACTCACCGGTCGACGCAGACGGCTCGAGAGAGGTCCTGGGTGGTGGGTGGCGCAACGATGTGGCACGGCGTTGTCGCACGACGCACACAGTATGTCGGCATGACAGTTTGCTCTCAACGCCATTATTCAATTTTGTCTCTGTCTCTCGAATGCTGATCGAGAGTCCAACTTGTTCTCATGAGTCATGATTGGTATGTGGGAAGGATAGAGTTAGGTAGACATCCAGGTTTGTCCATAGATTTAATCCTTGGGTTTTACCGCAGTTGGCAGGCCTGCCCGCTTCTGTGGCGGTTTGTAAGTTGTAACGAACCGGGACTGTTGCTGAGAGCGATCCGTGGCCAACCGCTAATGATCACCAAACGAAGCTGCGGCTATTTGCCGCGGTCGCTACGTCTTCAGCAGTCGGTCCGGGCAGGGAATTCCTCTGATCTAGTGTGATTTGTGCTCCAGCGCGCTTGGTTCGGCGATGGTTGAATCGCCGCAACTCGGTGCGACTCGACGCGTGCATTCACACATCACCGAACGACTCGCATGAGGCATCATATTTTCGACAGCTGAAAGTCGAGTAGTCCTGACTGTCCACGAGTGTCCCTGTTGACCCAGTGACCCGCCTGTCTAGTGGGCTGATAGACACTGCGTCTCCGTTATCAGTGTCTGGTCGAGCTGTCCTCTTCGCACGCGACACGCACTCACAAAGCGAATAACGGACGTCATGCGTCTGTACAAAACCGGCTTAAACTAAGGCTCCAAAGATATTTGACACATAAAATTCGTTCGTAAACCGAGCAAATCATCACCTGTAGGTAAGGGCTGGTGTGTGTGTCGATGTGTGTCGCCCTGATCCGACCTTGGCCGGGCTTTTGATCATGGCGTGCCAGACGTATGACCAGCTGGGGGTGACGTGTCATCGACAAGCGGCGCCGGTACACCAGCGATGTGACCCGGCGCCGCCCGACGTACACCTGTGTGGCCGGCGCGGCGCCGGCGACGGCGTGGAGTGAGTGGCGGTCGGGACATATGCACTGGGAATGGCGTTTTCTGATCGGGTTTTTGTGCGGTAGGCGGACCTAATGTTGAACCGTAATTGACACTCTGGGTCAGTCAGTCAGGACTTAACAGGGACACTCGTGGCCGGTCAGGACTATGTGTTGTATGAATGAATTAATTAAAGGAATTAAAGGAAAATGTTATGTGTTGTTAAAAGATGTCGCTTTGTCTGCGTGTTCACTCTCTAACCGTCGGTGTCCGTTTCTGCCCTCAGGCGGTATGGAGGAGTTCAGCCGCCAGTTCTCTGAGCAGTGCGACTCAGAGCTGCGTCCCGTGGAGACAGACCTGCCCGACTGCGCGTCCCAGCTGCGAGAGCGGGCTGATGAAATCGAGAAGGCGCGTGTCACGCAGATCCTGCCGTTCCTCTACGTGGGCAACCAGCAGGACGCCAAGGATCTGGACAGCCTCAAGGTAGGCGGCGATAGTTGGTAGAGAATTGACGATACTGTCGGTGCTGTGGAATATCCGTGACTGTGTTACGCGAGTTTCAAATAATCACCGTGTTTTTAGACAGCAAAACGTGTTTGGTTTGCCGTTCTCACGTCTTTTTCTCTCGTTGTTTTGTAGCCTTTCTGCACTTGGCGTCTGCTCCGTATAGCTGTGGTTTTCGCTGTCTGTGGCCCCGGCCTGTCGCTGAGCGGTGCGGGTTTTTGCAGAACTGCGGCATCACCCGTGTGCTGAACGTCACTGCCCACGTACCGGGCTACCACCAGCAGCAGGGCATCAGCTACAAAACACTGCCGGCCGCCGACTCGGGCCAACAGAACATCAGCCAGTACTTCGACGAGGCGGTCGAGTTTATCGGTGAGTGCTCTCGCCCTCTCTCGGCTCTTCCTCCTCCCCCCTCCCGCTCCAGTCTCCCCTCTCCCTCTCTCCGTCTCTTTCTTTTCCATTATCTTCCCTCACTTTGTTATTATCCTGGGGCATCCCTCACAAGCCGACTCAAGAGTTGGAGTTTCCTCGCTTACACCTGAGCTCTTGCATCAGCCTCGAATTTGTTTACGTGCGATATAAAGCTGGCTATTTACTCTAGCTTGGGTATTTTAGCTGAGCAGGTGCTTCTGTTGCATGAATAAGGAACGAGTTTCATGTTGACTTTTTATCCACATCCTGGGCCAGGTGCCTTTGGTTTAGTATCGTTGAAGCTTGTAGCCGAGGATTCAGACTCATAGCGTGGGAAAATATTAAATTCTAGCTGCTAGGCAGCTAAGGTGTGGCTGCCTTCTAGTCCCATCCCGGATGAATCGTGGGCTCTGAGCGTTTCTAAACATGCTCAGCCACTTATCACCTGCGATACGCGGTAGTGAGATCGGCGTTCGCGTGCCCGTGCTACTGGCTGCCCATCTTCCGGGTCCGGCTGGGGTACTGACGGGACGTTACCGCTCAATAGACATGTATTCTAACCCACCAGCAGACCGCGCGTTTTACCAGGCCTTCAGTACCCCGGCCCACACCTGGGCCGCCGCCGCCGGCACCTGCGTGCGGTCAGGGGGAGGGGGACGGGGACGGGCCTGACTCAGAGTCACGTGTCCGTAGTACGGTCGTCGAGTCGACGATGACTCACTTTGCGCAGCTGCGCGCCGACGGCGGCCCGCGTGTCTGTCTGTTTATCCGTCCGTCTGCCTGTCTGTCTGTCTGTCTGTCTGTCTGTGATGTCGGTTACGGCGTGTGCCGTCCCTGTCGGTTAAGGCTGAAGTTGGGAGGCGCAGAGCGCGCCTGCGTTGAGCGATGACAGACAGTTCGGTTACTGGTGCAGCGCTGAGCCGGTACCAACGCTGAGTCAGACGCACAAGTGCCACCAATGGCCGATAGATTCGTGCCAGTTTCAGTACATGTGGATGTGCTATATTGTTGATATCCATCGGTCCGAAATTTGTTTAGTCGTTGAACCTATCACTTTCGAATGATTCACATAAGGACGTTGAACGATCAATCAATAATCTGATTTTGAATTGATGGCGGTACTTACATCAGATGCACTTGTTATCCAGATGTTTTCCTTCTTTTCATTGGCTCTGCCAGTCACCAGGGTTGTTTCATACGTTGCTGGGAGCCCACGCTTCATCCATATCTCCCCTCTGCGGCACAGTCCGTCCCATGCGCCCTCAGTGACCGGTGCCGACGGACCGCCCGACCGGCTTTCAGGGCCTGACATGGGTCTGACAAGGCCTGGCTCCCGGCCCAGCCTGCTGTGGCGACTGACGTCAGCGTGACGGGCGTCACTGACGTCAGCGTGACGGGCGTCACTGACGTCACCGGCCACCTGTCACCGGGAGCTGGCTTCCGTACTCGTGACGATCTCACAGCGACGCAGTCGGGTTCAAGTGCACTGACGGATGCTCGTATCGGTGCTACCTGAAGGATATTTACACAATGCAACGGATGGAGACTGTCGAGTGTCGAGCACCTCGATGCGAAAGATGTTGGTTCGTAGATATGTGCAGGACAAACCTTCCGACGGTTTACTCAGGCAATGTGTCTCAGTTTCGGGTATAAGGTACTCTCACCTCTCGGTGATTTCGGGAGCTGTCTCGTGACCGAACAGAGTCGACCACCCCGCTTCAGCCACCGCGCCGTTGGCGTCAGATAGCGGGTGCGTCGCGGCCGCTATCTCCCCCCCCCCCCTGTGAGGGCGGGGGGGGGGTGCTCAGGTGTGCCAGGTGAGTCACCCGACACACCGAGAGACGGTCACGTGGCCAGAGCCAGATGTCAGCTGTCTGATGACAGATGACACTGGGGGCCGGTGACAGACTCACAGAGTGCCAATGTCAGGGGACAGGGGTGGTGCCGGGAAATGCTGAGTTTTCGTCTTTTCGGCTCGTCTGTCCTTCTGGCTTGTATGGCATGCATCGCTGGCTGATGTGCTTGACAACTGATCTGTCGGATTTTTATTTCACCCAAGACCTGACGGTCCATGCTCAGATCGAGCTATACCTACGCTGCGGGCTGCCGTGAGCGAATCGGGCGTTGAGCGCTCTCCATCGCATTCCTCCCTGACTCACCGGGGATCTAAGCCGGGGACGGCTATCCGATGAGCCGACTGAAGAGGCTCAGTAGCTATCGGTCAACATTTCGTAGGTCGGGTTTTACCCCCGGTTACCGCAGCCGGGGGCGATAAGGCTGCCGGCCGGCGATAGAGACCAGAGGTGGCCGTATCTGGTCGCCGGTGACGTAAGGCGCATACGCCGCATGACCGGCTGCCGGCGCTGCGCCCATTCACGGACGGACGTGCCCTGCGCCGTGGCGTTTTTACGGCGCCGTGATGTGAGCTCCGCGGCTCAGCGGGCCATCACGTCATCCTCGGCGGCCTTTCACCGAGGACGCCGTGCGCCCATTGGCCCAGCCGGCGTGACGTCATCGCCGCTGAGTCACCGTGCGCGCAGGGGCGGCTCCAGTGTAGCGGAGGGGAGAGGGCGGCTCTGTGCCAGTGGCGTGTCGGGCTGAGATAACGATCCCTCGTTCAGATAGCGATCCACCTGGTGGACCATGTGACCCGACCCCTCCCCCGAGCGGGCCCTGTGCCCGCGCCTGGCGCCGCACCTTCCAGGCATGACAACATTATCGGCGAATTTAGCCCGGGCTGGCAGCGGCGGCGGGCAGCCGTGGCTGGACACGCGGCCGGGCTATTATTACCCGGTGCCGACGCACCAGCGCCGAGCATCGTCGCCACCGGCGGGGGACTCGGGCCGGCCGCCAGCTGCCGGGGTGGAGAACCCTCTCGATGCTGGCACGACCTCCCGTGGGGTGCGGATGATGCACGGTTGGGGGTCAGCCGCTGTCCCTCGATTGGGAAATTGGGATTCCTATGGAACTGGAATGTATGCATAGATGCGTGCTGCCAGTGTGAGACGGTGCGTCTCTGGTCACCCTGCGCTGATGCAAAGCGATAGATTCTATTCAGAATCTCCCTGACCTGTCCCTGGCCTAAGGTCATGACATTGGCTGATGCTGCAGAGGTTGCCGTGCCTGTTTGGCGTATCTACCTGGCGCTCTCTTGCGGACGCAGACGGACGAGATCGAACGAAGTGTGGGAGTTAACTACAGATTTCCTTAAATCTGTTTCCGGTCCAGGCGCTTATCTTAAGTCTAAGAAACGTCCCGTTAAATCGCAGGACGGCTAACCCCTTCAATAGAAAAACACAAGCCCGCTCGTATGTAGGTAATACGAATGTTCAGAAACAAACATCCGACTTTTGTTTTGTTCGACAAACTCGTGCGACATTTTTAGCCAGGTAACTCGTTCATGGAACGCGTTGGCGTTGTGGCGCTATGTTTCTTGGACGGGCGGACGGAGCCGTGGCCTGGGGCTGTTTACTGCGTGTCGGTCGGCCGGCCGGGTGACTCAGCTCTCAGAGGAAACGGCTGACCTGGATCCGGTGTGCCCAGGCCAGCCTTTGTGGCACCCGGTCCGCGCCGGCCCCGAACCCGGGGACCCACGGCTTGGAGACAATGGACCCCGGGGAACCGGGGAGAGGGGGGAGGGGTGAGACAGTTGACAATGGGCGTTGACCTACGCAGTTTTTCTGTGTCAGTGACTCATTGTCGATAGCATGTTACAAATAGTCGGTGCTCGGACCGAAGTGATGTGTCGGTCGCTTCTGTGAGATCTGCTGCTGCTTGTTGACTGTGTAGGCAGATTTTTTCCTGTTCATTGTGATGAGCACTGCTGGATGTGTGAGAAATCTCTGCTGGACGCATTTAAAGCGATTCATATACGTTTGACTCGCTGGCGCTGGGAGATGTTTCTGTCCGCCCTAGGTGTTGCAGAAGTGACTACTATTTAACCGCTAATTAAATTGTTCTGACGGCCGAGGAGGCGACGTTTGCGCCTTTACCGTCCGTCTCCGTCCGCTCCCATGGAAATATCGGCCAGGAAATATTGTGTGCCGCTTCTCCGTATCCTGGGTGACTCCATACTATCGCAGCTGAATCTGGAACCGCGGCCGTCCCGTCCCGTCCAGTGCGTCATTTTCCCTGCACTGATGCTATCACTGTTCGTGACGCGAATAAAGCCGTACTGCCATACAGAGCGAATTACATCACCTGATCTTTTCAGTAACTAAGTCGCGCAAATTCGCCGCCTAGCTGCATTTGCCTGCTCGAGCATGACAAGGGACAATCCACCGGGAGAATAAATGTGATTCTTTTGATGATCGCACCTACCTGAATGAGACAAGAGCATGAGGACAGACATAAGTTATTTCATAATAAAGTCACACCAGAAAACCCCGTGTGTGAAGAAATAAAACAGCATCACTCAAAGGTAGCTAAGCTACCTACCTACATCCTGGCCTTCGCTACCTTCAGTGTGATTGAACACGTTGTCTGTGACTGTCGTCTGTGTTCTATGGCGTAGGACCGTTAGTTGTGTTCATTCGGGGCGGCGCTGAGCGTGCTATTGAATGAAATGCAGACCGATGGCCGGTGGGTCTGCAGGCGTGCGCATCGGTCCCTGACGGGGCAGATACGCTGGAGCCGGAACCGCTTTCTCGCGAACTCTGACGTCGGCCAGAGTGTCTATATTTGTGGCTGTTGATGTGTCTGTGTTCTGACTGTTACTTTGTCTCTGTTGCAGACTGTGCCCGCCGCCTGGGAACCCGCGTGCTCGTACACTGCGTGGCCGGAGTATCACGCTCGCCCACCATCGCCATCGCTTACATCATGAAGTGCCTGCCGATGAGCATGGTGGAGGCCTACCAGCTGGTGAAGGCGCGCCGGCCCATCATCAGTCCCAACCTGAACTTCATGGGTCAGCTGCTCGAGTGGGAGCGCTGTCTGCAGCCGCAGGGCCGCGCTGCGCCTACCGACCCGGCGGCAGCGGCGGCGGCGGCAGCGGCAGCGGCGGGCCGGCTACCCACCGCGCCATCCGGCCAGCAGAGTCCGTGCCGGCCGCTGGAGACGTGCACCAGCTGACCGGCGGCCGCGGCCGCACCCTGTCCAGCCTGATCTCAGCCGGCGACGTCATCGGGACGTGCGCCGGTTCCTTGAAGGGCGCCGCCGCGACTCGGCCGCACGGCGCTCGAGGCGCCGCGGCCGGCCCGCAGAGTGCCATCCGAGCGCATACCTGGGAGCGGAGAGAGCCGGAGGGGTGTATTGTCTGCCACCCTCCCCTCGCGGCAGCGAATTCTAGAACTGTCTCTTCGCCCGTGTCTAGAAGGGAGATGGATCGCGGCCCGACCCCAGTGCCTCTCTTCGAACCTTGCTGGTATGCATCCCTATTTATTTTACTGTGCCTTTGTAGTCGTGTGCGAGTTGCATTGATGTCGTGTGTCACGTTTTACAGAGGTATTCACCATGTTATACCACCTACAAATGTGTGCAAATAAACACCGTGCCTGTTGCGATAGCCGTCATGTGTTTTGGGAGGCTGGGCTGCGCGCGTGGGCTGCCTCCGGGGCAATTCTCTGCGCAGGGGTTGTCTCCGGGACTGGGCGAACTGTCTCCCATACCGTCGAGCATGATAGGCCGTCTCCGGGAGAGCGGGGTGCAGCGCTGCATGACTGGACAGGTGGTGACGTCATTGGGACAGGTGATGACGTCACTGCGGCTGGCTGGCCAGATTTCCTGCGCCAAGGGCAGCAGTGCGGCGAGCGGGGCCTGTTCCTGGAATTGCACCGCCGTGGATGGCGGCTGGGACTGGCGCAGCAGGTCGACTCGGCCGGGGCGGCGGAGACCTGCGTATTCAGATCAGCCAGCAGCTGTTCGTTAAGGGTACCGATATAGAGCCGCAGAAACGGAATGGGGGGGCTGCAAAACCCTTTCCCGATTTTTTTCCTGATCTTTGGTGTTGTTCCAACTGAGTATAACACTGAGAATGAATTAAAATGGCGGAAAGGTATAAAATAAAGTAAAAAGTTGTAGACCTTTAAGCCGGAGCCAGCTCTCAGCTTTAAATCCGGCAACTGTTTCATGTCTCGCCAGCGCTTTACTAATGAGACGTGGACGTCATTATACGACCTGACATTGTGCGACCGCAAAATGTCACGTACTTTTGAACAATAGAAAACAACCACGAGAGAGAAACGAACAACTAAATAAACGCACGCTGATAAAACCCAACAGGGCACGACAGAGATGCCACATCGTCAGTGTTTGCTGTGCCGTTCTGGCCCCGTCACCCCGACTGCGCCGCTGGACGTGCTGTCACCGTGCTGATGTCACGTGATGTAGCCGTGCTCCCTGACGTCATGTGCCGCCGCTGACGTCACGTCACCTGACGTCAGTGGGCGCCATATCGGTGTTATCTGCTGTGATCGGAGGTGCGATCCGCGCGTCGCTGACGGTATCTACCCCCGCGCGCTTACCGCAGTCGAGAGAGCCGGGACGAGGTCCGATCACATGAGATGGTTCGTGGTCAATGACGATGCGGGCTCGGCGGTGGTGGCATCCAGAGGCGATGCAGTCTGGATGTCAGCGGAACATAAAGGGAGTAGGGCTGGACTGAGCTCCCGAGTGCTACTTGGTCCAACGGACTGAAGCACGTACACAACAAACAACAACAACAATGACGACGACTGATCTCACATCACAGACACTCCCGAACCATTCCATGGTGGTCGTAAAAGACGGGGGCGCTCAGTCAGTGAGTCGCGCCGCAGTTTAGACGTTATGTTGTCCCAGGAAGACGAGAATCGTAAGCGAAGTGGATGTGTAAATTGTTTTATTCGGCAGCAGCCGTCTATGTGCATAGTCAAAATCTGGATGTAGCATGTTTTCAGGTTGGCACCTGAATCACTAATTAATTAATTTCATTAAATGATGCATTTATTGTACCTACTTATATTGCATTCCTATCCCTACATGTAAGACGTTAGGCGTAGTTTTAATTATACCGTTTTAATCACACTCCAATGCTTAGCTTTAACACCATCCACCGGGGGTAGATAATTAAGCCGGGAAAACGTGCAGCGGTTGGCGTTTTTAATTGGTGATTTTCTCCTATTTACGTCACTCCACATCCGGCTGTCGGTGCGTCGCTGGATTCACCGACAAGTCGCCAGTCACGATCCGGTCACCTGAGCAGATAAAACGTGACAGATAAGTGGACCACTCCGCAAAGTGCCCTTCAAGCCCGTTCTGACGGAAAGGTGCGCTCATAAACGCATGACCAATATTCGCTCTCGATGAAAATGGTAACACAAGAAACGGTGCAGGCGATATTCCGGATCGTTTGTGCTTCCGCTTTTATTAGTAATAGGCTTTCGGTGATTTTGATAATTGATTCTGATCATCCAATAAGCTACCTATCATGAGCTTTAATCAATCAGTGAGTTTATGGCTCGGAAGACGGTAAGAAGAGTTGAATTCATCTATGAAATTGATTGGTATTTAACGTCTCTGTACGCCACTCAACGCCGATTCGCAGAAGGCGGCATAACCTTGACAGTTGCGCTGTTCCGTGCATCGCCGAGGCGCCATCGGTGCAGTGCGCTGTATGGGCGCATTCCGCGGCCCGGCATCAGACAGGGGGTGCTGCAGACTGCAGGGGGAGGGGGGGCTGACGGAGCAGCCGGTTCGTCAGTGATGATGTCACTATGATGTGCCGCCATGCCATCAGTGCACTGAGCGCCGCCATTGTTGTTGGGCCGGACTGCAGTGCCGCCAGTTCGGTGAAGTGACGTCATCCTCAACAGAGGGGGGGGGGGGTACTGCGCGTGTTTACAATTGGCTGCACGAAACCCAGTATGGCTCTACTGAGGTCAGGGTGCATGGAAATGGCCGATACACATCAATCGTTCAATTCGAGATGGTAGAAGGATCGAAAGGAGACTTTATTAAAGTGAGACTAATAAACGGATTCAACTTCAAGCGATATGATACCCAAGTTTCCCATTAGATTCATACGCTTATGCACTTAGGTATATGCAGGGCTGCACCGAGACTGATACCTAAGTGATAATGCCTTAAAGTAAAATGCCCACGGGGTTTGTTTAACATGACTTTAAACATGTTTCTAATGTTCTCTAGGAAAACGTTTTCTCGAGTATAGACGTTGAAAACCGTCTAAATATTTTCCGTGCCGTAAGGGGCTGTTCCGTACACTCAGCCCAGTAGCGACGTCTTAACCCGACGCATAAATGGCATACCTATGCTTTTTGCCCGCCCCCTGCAAACCGCCCCAAATAGTGTGCCAAATTTGAGGGCGATCAGCCTAGTCGTTGGAGAGCTGGAGACTGGAAATGACCATTGCACGTGCGCACGTGCAGTAGCACCCCAGTCGTGGTATGTAAAAAATGCATTGCCTGATGGGTGCCCACCTATAGGTAATGTTAAGTTTCTGTGCCATCGGCCGAGTAATTGCCGATTTAACAACGTTAAATCGTTAGATTTAACTATAATATAAGAATCGTATAACTAGGTAATGGATTTAACTATTGCACCTAATTGAACCAAAATTAACAAGGTCACTTCGAACGTAAAATGTCCTGTGGGGTCGAGTCGGTCGCTCGTACTTCCGATTGAGCAATAGAGTTTTTCCGTTAAAACACAAATAAACTCGCTCACCTCACTTGTTTACTCTCACTTTTATAGGGGGTGGGGGGGGGGGTCGGATGAACCCCCTCAAGTTATCGTAAATAACTCGCGTAAAAAGCTGTCGCTTGCGACGAAAGTCTCAGTACCATTGGTGCATAGGTAAAGGGCGGACACAAGGGGGAGAGGCACGCGGGCCCGTGCCCTCCCCATTAGAATTGAGGGGCCCATCTGAGCCCCTAATCTTTAGACCGCCGAACACCATCTAAAAATGGGCTTAATTACATGGTGATTGAAAAGACCAGGAGTGCCCATCTCAGGCCCCAGCAGGCCCATGTGAGTTCATGCAGGGCAGCTTTTTCGGCTGGGGCCTGGGGCCCCTCGGCATGAGGGGCCCATTTTGCAGGTCGTGCCCCCTGTAGGGGAAGCCGGGGGAAGCCCGGCATAGTAAGCTCTTTTTCATTTTTATTACATACCATACATGCTGTATAAAATGTTGATATCCTGCTAGCTACCTAAGTTCATTGGCCGTGTTTTCCCAAAAATTCGGTTTTGTGGAATAAGTATAAGGTTGAGAAGATCGAGTTTTAAAAAAGTGTTGATTTTTCTGGGGTAAGCCCGGCATAGGGGTAACGCCGGCCACCTCCCCAGCGCTTTACAACAAGTTGATGAAACCATTATGTGTTTTCCAAATATTAACGGAAAGTGAAATATTAAGGTACTGATTAGCTCTGGACATCTTAGAGTTTATGTCACTACTGGCATTTTAGCTAGCGTCTACTACATATACAATACAGGTCGATGAAAATCGTGATGCGAAATTGACAAAAAATGTGTATTTTAAAATTCCTTAAAATTTATTTTTCTTTTTACCTTAATGCATCATATTGCATGTCATTCGACTCGGCTGATGAAGAAGAACACAACGACTCCATTTTTGAAGCTCTAGCTTCATTGTCTGTCGCGTAATCTGCAAAAACGTAGTTTGACCCTAGTTGACCTTAAGTGACATGACTGGCTTTGTCTATGATAACATGTTTATTTTCGAAATTTATCTTTGATCTAGGTGTAAACCAAACCTGCTCAGTACCTATTATCTCATGGAAAACAGTGGTTTAGTGGCATTGCTCTCGGTTGGGGGTAAGATTGGCCACTCGCCCGGGGTTACCCCAATGTGCTAATTTTTATTTTAGAACAGCGATATTCGAAAAAATGTCATACTTAAGCCAGCCTGCCTCGTCACCCCTCACTACAAACACTTAAACTGTCCTTACATAACATTCGTATAAATATTAGTGCTGTATGGTATAACATTAACAGTGCAAGATATCTCACTTTTTAGCTAAAAACCATTAAAATATCATTTTTGCGCTATAACTTTAACAATATGCAATTTTTGTCAGCCTTAACTTTTTTGCTGTCGTTACCTTAGCTGCCACGCTGAAAGGACAAACAGTTGAGCATTTTATTGTGAATAATTTAGCCGGAAACGGGGTGGCCGGGCTTCCCCGCGCCCGGGCTTCCCCCGGCTTCCCCTATTTAAAAATCCTGTGTGCGCGCCTGGATGTGATCAATTTTACACAACCCTAAAAATGCCATGACCCTGACGCGTACGAACTTCATGTCGCGGGGAGAGGTCGCTATGCAATGTTCACTGTACAGTAGCGGCCAGCCAGGGTGTTCAGCGCAATGGAACCCCGGTCAGCCGCGGCCCCTCCCCACAACCCGCTGTGACGTCACAGTTCCGGCAGCTGCCGATGACGTCACTGGCCGTTGCGCCACATGGAGTGTGATGACAGACGAACAGAGGGGAGCCATCCGATAACGGGAACCGACACCGGACCATCAGGAATTCCGCCCACCTGATGGCGTGACGTCATATCGGATACTCCGCCCACATAGCACCGTGACGTCACCTATCGAAACGTGGCGTCATGGTATCTCAGCCGAATTGCAGCGTCATTTAAAGCACTTCTTTCACAGCTTGCCACTCCTGAGAAGTATGAGCTGGATGCTCTCGCCCTGCCCTGCTGGGAGATTTATCCAAACATGTCCCGCTGATGGAAGGAACAAATGAAATCCTGTGTTCATGTGAAACTTAGAACGAATTGAGTCGAGACTCGAGGGACTGCTGAAAGCGGTACTGGAAGGAAAGCTATCGCCAATACTAAAGTAAAAAAACAGTTGAGCTAAACACATACATATAAGGTGTATTACCGATCGTTCTAGATGCATGTGTCTGTTAAGTTGCCTATTACCATTTACCACAAACTGGTGATGGCGTTTCATGACCTATAATTTCAAGTGACCATGAGATAGGCATAAGGATTAGTTGTGCAGTTTTCGATGAGTAGAACAGAAGAAAAAATTGAAGAGTTTGGCGAAAATGACCCGCCACTATGGCGAAACTCCGAAATGAAACGTTCGACTATTCTTACGCCCATAAAACGATATAATGTACCATAATGTAAATTGCACCGGGCACCCACATTTGACGAAAATGTGAACAATAATAGCCGAAGTAAAATCAGACACGCCGGACATTGAAAGCACAAAGAACGCTTACGATTTCAGTTTCATGCGGATACAAGCACAATACAATCGGATACAAGGAATACAAGAATCGGATACAAGCACGACATGGACATACTTATACATCACTCTGTTTCACCGCTGCAGACTATTTCGACCGGCATTCACGATAACACTGGCATCATCTCGTTTCACATGAACGGTCAATAGACGCTTCCTCGCAGGCTCATCACTCACCAGCCTATTTACATCACCAATTATGGGTGCCCACCCTCTAGGGGACCCGGCACCGTCTCCCCTTCAGCCGATTCACCTTTTCAGCCAGGGGGCGCACCAGAGCCCACGGGGGCGCCAGCGCCCTCTCTGGTGTCTGGCGAGGGCGCCTGGGCGGGCGCCGGGCGCGGGCTCGCGGTGGGAGCCACTCGGCCTCCGGAGCCGCGCGACCCCGGGCTCAGGTTCAGCACGAAATAGTAGATCAGCTCGAAGAAGGACACCAGCGAGAAGCCCATGAAGAGTCCGAGCAGTCCGCCGATGTTGGCTGCCGACAGCACAGAAAGCAGGGGTTGACAGATCGAATGGGTGCTGTTTTCCGGACCAGAAGGTACAAAATCTCGCTGTCACTTTGACGTCTAAACATTAATTGGACTCATGAAGCTAAATTGACCGAATTACATAATTACAGGCTTATCAGGCCTATAGGTACCAATGTTATAACTAGTGATGGGCAGCTTTCTACCCCACGATGTAGACGTCGCCACTGAGGCAGCTGTAGTGTAGATGGCGCTACCGCGACTGGTGCAGGGCCGATTTCACCAACGATGGGTCCCCAATCCTACAGGCAGACCCGTGAGTCGTGACTCGTGACTCTGACTTATGACTACCTAGCCAGCGGAGTTCACTCGAGTTCATAATGGCATCAGTTCATTAACCAGCTCTGCCCTGCCCATGGACCATGGTCTTCTTGATCGTGAAGCCAATGGAAGATAGACGGTTCATGATCATTGTTCACCATCCATGTTGACGTTTGACCATGCAGCCACCAGCATATTATTGTTTGCAAGTTGCATTGACATTTTATATTGACATACAATATTGATACACATACACATACAATATTGACATTGACATATTGAGTGCCCGTAAAATGTAAATAAGTATACCTACATTGTAGGTCCTACACTGTAGGTCCTACATACAGTGTAGGGACGAACACACCGTTCTATGTCGTTCAATCCTCAAAGCAGTCATGCCCTTCTCCTCCACGCCTCAAACCCCTGATCCAGGCTAGATATTCATTCTGAACCTTTATCCGACATTCATCGAACGGTCACCTTATATTCTCAGAAGCAGGCCAGTTGTGCCATGAGGTGAACGTTTACGGGACTGGTCAGCCTATCCATGAGAAGGCTTGACTGGCTCGGCCCCGGTGGCGCACCTGGGCGGCTATGCAGGCCAATGTCTTCCTGTAATTCCTATCACCCTTCCGCGGCTACGAAAAGGTCTTGTTAGACTGAAAAAGCCTAACTCTACAAAAGAAATAACCAAACAAGTAAACGACAAGCAAAGGGAGATAGAAAAACATGAATGTGAAATTTTCGTCTATATCAAGCAGATAGTTTAAGCATTGTGATGCGCTCATAATTGAATGCACGTACACGTATGTAATGTACCTGCGTTATGAATGGAGTCTCCTCGCATTCATTGTGCTGATCTGAAAACAGCCCGCCTGGTCACCGAAACGTCTTCATTACACACGTAGCATGCATGAAAAAAAAATCCGTAGCATGGCATCTTACCTATGATCTGGTCGATGGTGTACATCAAGTCTCGTTTGTACCGCGTGACCGAGTTCGTCTTGAAGAAAACGTGCAGCTTGGCCATGTTGAGCCTGGGAACAAGAACGAACGTTTTATTAGTAGTATAACTTTAAAACACAAATCAGTCATAAAACGAACGAATATTAGACCAGTATAACGCCTTTTAGGGCGACTAACGGAGCGAGCGAGAGGGTGAGCCTTGCACGTGCGAAATTTCGAGGGGGTACCTCCAGCTGACTTGTGCACGGCACCCTACTAACCGGTCTCTAGCGATGTGCCAAATTTGAGCACAATCGGGCCAGCCGTTCTCGAGATCTGGAAGCGGCACCCTGCACGTGCGCACGTGCAAAATGGGTCCCAACTGACTTTTGCACGGCACCCTACTAACCGGTCCCTAACCATGTGCCAAATTTGAGCGCCATCGGTCCAGCCGTTCTCGAGATCTGGAATCGACCCCTGCACGTGCGCACGTGCAGCAACACCCCAACTCTGGCACATGGATATGCATTGCCTAGTGGGTGCCTACCTACATGCCAACTTTCAGCGCAATCGGCCAAGTAGTTACCGAGATATTGCAACAATTACAAAAGTGACACCTCTTCGTTTTGCACGTGGCACGTGCATAAGGGGTCACCCACATGCATCGGGAATAGTCCAATACTTGGTAGAAGGAATGAAGCTACCCTACAAAAATTACCGCGTGTAAATCGGTCAAGTGGTTGCTGAGATATAAGCGTCGTAGAAGCGTGACCACGGCCGGCCGGCCGGCCGGCCGGCCGCTCATACTCAGAAATTTCCGTTAATCTAAGGAAAGACTACGCTCGCTTCGCTCGCTCCGTAATAATTTGTCTTGTGTTATTTATTTAGTTAATTAAAAGTTAAAACCCAGCCTGAAGAGATAAAACCAGTATAACGCTTTTTGTGGCGACTAACGGAGCGAGCGAGAGGGTGGGCCTTGCACGTGCGAAATTGTGAGGGGTACCTCCAACTAACTTGTGCACGGCACCTTACTAACAGGTCTCTAGCGATGTGCCAAATTTGAGCACAATCGGCCCAGCCGTTCTCGAGATCTGGAAGCGGCACCCTGCACGTGCGCACGTGCAAAATGGGTCCCAACTGACTTGTGCACGGCACCCTACTAACTGCTGCGTAACCGTATACCAAATTTGAGCGCAATCGGTCCAGCCGTTCTCGAGATCTGGAAACGACCCCTGCACGTGCGCACGTGCAGCAGCACCCCAACTCTGGCACATGGATATGCATTGCCAAGTGGGTGCCTACCTACATGCCAACTTTCAGCGCAATCGGCCCAGTAGTTACCGAGATATTGCAACAATTACAAAAGTGACACCTCTTCGTTTTGCACGTGGCACGTGCATAAGGGGTCACCCACATGCATCGGGAATAGTGCAATACTTGGTAGAAGGAATGAAGCTACCCTACAAAAATTACCGCATGTAAATCGGTCAAGTGGTTGCTGAGATATCAGCCTCGCAAAAGCGTGACCACGGCCGGCCGGCCGGCCGGCCGGCCGGCCGCTCATACTCAGAAATTTCCGTTAATCTAAGGAAAGACTACGCTCGCTTCGCTCGCTCCGTAAAAATATGGGGAAAATTACCTAGTGGGAAAATAGAAGTATTTTTTTTTTTTAATTTCACTAAGCCACGTGAAATGATAAGTACCTATCATTGACTGCAAAACAGCAGCCTGAATGTTTTTTATGACTCTGCAACACGCCTGTCAAGTGAAAGTCGTCGGTCATCGGCTCGTCTCCATTGCCATATACCACGAACAATGTGCTGTGTCTGTGTGCGCTCAAATAACACCGCTTGGCAGTGTGAGTGGCCCAGTGTGTATTCATATCCCGCGCCCCGCTGAGGGGGGGGGGGGCAGAATCTGCCCCCTCCCGTTTTTCGCCAATAACTTCTAAACGCGTTACGCCAGCGATGTCAAACTTTCAGTAGGTACCTTATTATACATTAATTTGACATGTTCCCTGAAAATTTGAGCAAAATCCGTCGGAAACTCTTTGAGAAATCGACGTTTTAGTGATGTCATGTTCGCAATTTTCGCCTCAAAAACGGCAAATTTTTTGAAACGCCGCTAACATCCTCATTTTTAAAGGAATCAAGACGTAACAAAAACGGTTATACGTGATTTTACTTTGTCTATCAAATGGCTATCTCGGTTTTTGAAAATTTTGGATTTGAGCCCAATTTTTTTCTTAAAAATCTGACTTTTTTGGGAAAATAAGAATAAAATCCAAATTTTGAGTGCATCAAAAAATCGGAATATATATCAGAGAAGTGGTCTATGTGCACCTACATACCAATTTTATGAAGAATCGGTTCAAAAATGTGGGAGTAATTCAAAATCTTATGACGTCACGACACACAAAATTTTTGAAAAAAAAATGATTTTTTAAAGTTCTAGACCTCGTACGGGAACAAAAATAGCACCATTCGATTCGCCGTGAAAAAATGCATCAGTTAGACACCTTTTTAGGCCTAACAACCAAATTCAAAATTTGACCTCACTTGACCTGACCTTGACCTGACCTCGACCTGAAAATCATCCAGAGGTGGTCTATATCACATATTGAGCGTGCCTATGGAATTCTATGAATAAAATGACCCATAAAACATGTGTCGCACATGCCCTTTTCTATATTTTGTTTTTGGTGACCTGACCTGACCTGACCTGACCTTGACCTTGACCTTTGAATGACATTGTATGCAACGAATAGTGTCTTGGTAGTCTAAGAACACGTTTTGGGCAATCAGTCTCAGTCCATTCTTCGGCAAGATGCGGTGCAAGGCCGATACTGTAGAAACTTGCATTTTGTACCCTTGACCTGACCTTGACCTGACCTCTAACCTACTTAAGAAAAAAATTGGGCTCTTAAGATCCGCCTTGTTGAGAGCTTTCGATTACCGTTTTCCCCATCTTTCTACGAACATCGGTTCGGAAGTTAGACAGGGGCGGGGGGGGGGGCAGAATCTGCCCTCCCGGCAGGGCGCGTATGGCTGAATAGCCCAGCGGGGCGCGGGATATACGACGGACGGACGGGTGACGTCCGTCCGCCGGGTGAACGGCGTGACGGGTGACGGGGTCAGTGTGACGGGTGGACGAACTGACCGTCGGAATCTTACCTAGCGTAGTTGACGGCCAGGGGGTAGAGCGGCTCCGTCAGCGAGTCGTTGGCCAGGAGCTCTTCAGCCCCCTTCCCCGCCAGGATCAGAGAACACTCCTTCTGGCAACCAGCAAACAGACGACATTAGTTAACGGGAGTCCGGAGGCAAACAACATTAGTTATTGGGAGTCCGGTGATAGACGACGTTAGTTAACAGCAAAACAGCGAGACTAGTTAGTGGAACCCCCGGGCAGGCGATATTACATAGTTAACCAGAACGCCGGTATGATTCCCATTCTATGTAGCATCTGCTGGACAGCACAGAAGAAGACTTGGTCAATAATACACGTAAAACTTTCTTACTTTCAATAATCCCACTTCCTAGAGCTATTCAACAGAGAGTTATCACGAATCACTGCAGGCAATCGCATACAATGAGCACTTCTGGCTCAATAAAGCAATGAGGTGCATTCACTTCACCGCATTATAACTGTTCAGCGTTCACGTCAAGTCACCCTTGAGAGCACACAAACCGGAGCTCACCGATTGCTGCTGGGTTACGCCGATCAGAGATACACACATTCTGGTGACGATTGCCTTGAAAATATCACTGAAAGCCTCGTTCTTGATCAGTTCCTGGCTCGGGAAAAGTGAGCTCGAGAGCTCTGTGGAATACTTTGTTTCGTCGCACGCTGGTAGGCAGTGCTCCCAAAACTCAGCCGACAGGTTGAAGTCTCGAGAAAGATGGTCTGAAACGTAGCCCAAAACGTTGTCGGTGCGTAAAAATCACGTTTCACCCCAAGCCCTAAATGGGGAGCAAAGACTGGACAACCGATGTTGGCACACAAATAAAAGTGGCGTGCAATCATATTTCGCGGAGTTATAAAAGTAAAATTTTGTGTTTACTTATTGAAGATTATTCGTGTTATATTAATTACAATTTTCATTCGTGTACTTAAAGTCATAACTTTTAATCGTGTGCTTATAATTGTAATAATAATTATCATATAAAGTTTTGAAGCATAATAAGATAGCAATATTTTATTAAGGTTAGCCGACGAACATAACTAAAAAGCTAGGCATGAAAAGCCACATTACTTCCGATGATTTTGTTGCTTTACCATTTCTATGGCAATGCAGAGCAACAATGTTATATCTACGACCCAACTTTTAACTCTTTAATCAACATGTGAAAGACCGTAAAACTGGCGTGAGAGAGGAAACGACATTGTGTTGCATAAGTGTTTGAAAAATGTAAAAGGAAAAGGATGTCTGAAAGGCAAGCTATGTCCCGAGGAGTGCAATTAGACCAATACGGGCTTGGAAAAATAAGTGAATAAAAAGCTTCGAGCAGCTGCAATTACTTACGCAAGAACGTCTGAAGACACGGTAAATCTTTTTCATGGCATATTTTGGCGGTTCCTGTGTAGCGGAAGAAATAACATTAGCTTGTAAGTTATAGCCGGCATTGCGCAAGAGAAACGAGTCTCCATACGGTAAACGTCGAATTGCTCTAAAAAATGTGAAGCAGCCTTCCCGAAACATGAGCACACTTTTTGTGATTTCAGACGCACCATATCAACTCGTTTTTTTTTTCCGGAAGTTAAACTTTACAAGTTAGTGAGTTCGAATTATTTATCCGTAGTTACACCTATCTGGCCTTGTCGACCAGTTCCACTCATGTCTTTTGTCAGTACCTACTGAGTACGATAGCCTATAAACATAAACTACAAATACCCCTAGTCTCCAATCCTTCAGCATGCCTTCCCAACTTTCACTTGGGTTGCGCCCTATACATTTCGTAACGTTTGAGCCGTATTGGAGCGATAAATTGATACCTACCTATACCTAATCCATACTTTGACAATTTGTAATTATTTGTCACTTAATCCTTTACTTCATCCCTCTTTCAAAAAATATTTGTGCATTGACTACTAATCAGCCTGTAAAATTAAATCAGTCTCTGACTCTCTGCCAAGGTCTCTGCCGGAAATCAAAGCAACGAACGAAATTACGGACATTTGACATCTCCGTGATTTCGCTCGTGACTTTGATTTCCGACAGAGACTGACTTGATTACAGACTGATTTATATCTCATGCCATTCGTCTAAATCCACCCTCTCATACCTGGCACGTAGAAGGCCACGCAGCCGCACCGGTCGACCAGCGCCTGGGCCTCTCTGCTGAGCAGGCAGTTGGCCAGCGTGTAGTAGGTGGTGTCGGCGTGCCGCAGCGCTCGCTCGTGCTCCATGTAGCAGTTCCGCTCCTCCGGCGTGAAACTGGACTCGGCACGCGCTGCAACACGCAGAGACGAAGAGACCAGTCTAGACGCCGGGTAGTTGGGTAATTAAAATGGTGCTGCGATATTTGGTAGAAATCATTTATCTTGATTTTTGTTTAGATTTAAAATTTTATTTTTGTTCGCGCGTCTTTATGTTGTTATTTCCGAGTGGACTATAATGACGGCCACGGAAAGCTTGCACGACGGTATTGCTATTGCACGCCGACGCACCTCCGGTTACCTTACCTGTGGTGTAGGTCTCCTCAGCAGTGACGGCCACGAAAATCTCCTGTCCCGGCGGTATGGCCATTCCTCGCTGACGCACCTCCGGCTCGTCGTGAGTTCCGTGAACTAAAATCTGCAGCAAAGCGAATAGCCTCTTACTGACATGCTTGCCTTGGCATATACACATGGGCTTTGTTTTTTCTTACTGCATGCAGCATGCATACGATATTTTCATCTGTGTTTATTATTTAGTGCTCAATAGAAAATGTACCGACAAGAACAAGTCCAACCGTCAGCCTGTCTCGTCGCCTATCTAACCTTGAACCCGACGGATAGAAAATGGGAGAGGTAGTACTCGTAGCGTTTGACGTCGATCATCACGGTGAGACCGTTCTTGTTACCGGAGCCGCTGTACAGTACCCCGTCCTGCCTGGAACGTCGGGCAGCGCCGCTATGTGACACAAGCGTCGACCGTGTGAGCTGCCATCAGGGGCGCCAGCGAACAGAGATGAAGCGGATATCCACGTAGGGTATATTGACCGGGATGTTGCTGAGGTGGAACTGAAATGGGGCATTACTGAAGAGAACAAACGCATGCCACCATCTTCTCAGAGAAATCGAGCAAATATACCTAAAGGAACTAAATACGTCATAGTTATTAGGTATATACGCACTTACATACGTACAAAAGAAGAATTAGAACGTTGCAAATGTAGGGGAAGCCGGGGGAAGCCCGGGCGCGGGGGAAGCCCGGCCACCCCGTTTCCGGCTAAATTATTCACAATAAAATGCTCAACTGTTTGTCATTTCAGCATGGCAGCTAAGGTAACGCCAGCAAAAAAGTTAAGGCTAACAAAAATTGCATATTGTTAAAGTTATAGCGCAAAAATGATATTTTAAGGGTTTTTAGCTAAAAAGTGAGATACGTTGCACTGTTAATGTTATACCATACAGTCCTAATATTTATACGAATGTTATGTAATGACCGTTTAAGTGTTTGTAGTGAGGGGTGACGAGGCAGGCTGGCTTAAGTATGACATTTTTTTTTCGAATATCGCTGTTCTAAAATAAAAATTAGCACATTGGGGTAACCCCGGGCGAGTGGCCAAGCTTACCCCCAACCGAGAGCAATGCCACTAAACCACTGTTTTCCATGAGATAATAGGTACTGAGCAGAATTGGTTTACACCTAGATCAACGATAAATTTCGAAAATAAACATGTTATCATAGACAAAGCCAGTCATGTCACTTAAGGTCAACTAGGGTCAAACTACGTTTTTGCAGATAACGCGACAGACAATGAAGCTAGAGCTTCAAAAATGGTGTCGTTGTGTTCTTCTTCATCAGCCGAGTCGAATGATATGCAATATGATGCATTAAGGTAAAAAGAAAAATAAATTTTAAGGAATTTTGAAATACGCATTTTTTGTCAATTTTGCATCACGATTTTCATCGACCTGTACTGCATATGTGGTAGACGCTAGCTAAAATACCAGTAGTGACATAAACTCTAAGATGTCTAGAGCTAATCAGTGGCTTAATATTTCACTTTCCGTTAATATTTGGAAGACTCATAATGGTTTCATCAACTCGTTGTAAAGCGCTGGGGAGGTGGCCGGCGTTACCCCTATGCCGGGCTTACCCCAGAAAAATCAACACTTTTTTAAAACTAGATTTTCTCAACCTTATACTTATTCCACAAAACCGAATTTTTGGGAAAACACGGCCAATGAACGTAGATAACAGGATATCAACATTTTATACAGCACGTATGGTATGTAATAAAAATGAAAAAGAGCTTACTATGCCGGGCTTCCCCCGGCTTCCCCTAAACGTTCAAAAAACATCGTTTTCTCACTTGGCGCTGTCGTAGTGCGCGTTGAACAGGCAGCAGTAGCCGAGGTCGGTCCGTTGCGTTTTAAAGAGTTTCGAGCATGGTGTCTTCCGGCCTCTCCAGAGACAGGCGACGACCATCTCATCGCACGACGGTGAAGTCTGCACGGAGAAAATTAACGTGTCGCTGGTCGTAATGAAAGCACACACAACGGTGTGACAGGCAAGATACTTTATACGTATACTTCTATGCATGCTTTTATTTTTCGCTCTTATTGGAGAGAGAGAAAAAGACGGGGGGAAAAGGTAGAAAGAAAGAGAGAGAGAGAGAGAGAGAGAGAGAGAGAGAGAGAGAGAGAGAGAGAGAGAGAGAGAGAGAGAGAGAGAGAGAGAGAGAGAGAGAGAGCATCACGAAAAAATAATAGAAACAAACCAGAATAAATATTGGAAGGACGCGTTTGTCCCCAGAGCTCACCATCGCCATGATTTTCCGGACTTGTTCCGGAGGTATGTCATGTGTTCTGCGGCGGGTTTCTGCCGAGGGGAGGCAGTGGTCTCCCTCACACGAGTCGGCCGAGAGGGGACAGCGGCCGCCGGCGCACGAGTCCATGTAGGCGATCTCCAGAGCGTCCAGCACGCGCTGACGCCACTCGGTCTCGTTCGGGTACACGACTCTGTGGTGAATCAGCGGTACATGACTCAGCGGTGAATCAGCAGCACACGAATCAGCGGTACATGACTCAGTGGTGAATCAGCAGCACACGAATCAGCGATACATGACTCTGCATGACTCGGTGCATGAGTCAGTGGTGCATGACTCTGCTGTGCACGACTCAGCGGTAAATGAGTCTGCGGTGCACGACTCAGCGGTACACAACCCAGCAGCGGTAGGTCAGCGGTTTGACTCTGCGGTACAAGACTCGGCGGTCACGACTCTGCGGTCACGACGCGACTCGGCGACTCACCTTCCCAGCACAGTCTGCTGGTCGGGCGGCAGGCTGCTGTTGCTGATCTTGTTCAGGTTGCAGATGGTCAGCGCCGGGAAAGGGATCCGGTGCACCGGGTAGTCGGTCGTCTCAATGCTGACCAGTGTCGGAGACCGGAAGTAGTTGTCCACCACGCCGTAAATGAGGAACGACGCTGAGCAGAACGTGCCCAGCACAATGACGCCCCAGTACCAGCTGAAACGGGGGCACATATGTACAGTTTCGAATACCAGTTCTACCGACGACTTTTATTGACATTTTTGTGAGCGCTTTAGCAAGTAACATAATATTTTACATTATATGTTATGAATCTCACATATATGAGCTAACAGCAACCCAAAACAGAGCAATAGGAAGAGCAGCACAAACAGTTGTGTGCCTATAGTGGAGTAACCAGGCTCGACACTACCGCAAGACTTGGTTGAGATTAGTTCTCACTCATTGGTATACGATATTATTTTGATTTTTTCATATATCTGTGATAATGCAAGCAAGACTGACTCTTCTAGATGCTCAACGTTCCTACACGAAACACACCAAATAAATTCTGATGACAGGATTGCTCACCGTTTAGCTGACCTCTCCCTGGCCAAGTACTTGACACCATGGATGGTGGTCTCTTCGCAATACTTCTCAGCCTGTTCACGGAAAATGTCGCGATATCCCTGAAAAAGCCAATCGCATGTAATTACCGCACAAGGCTACAAAATAATGCACATTTTCTATACGCACTCCCGTAAAGAGAGAAGGAATTCAACCCCTAAATGTGACCCTATCATCGTTTATCCACACATATGTATGCATGTATGTAAATGTACGTATAGAACCGACTCTTGGGGCTTTTCTAAAATGTATTCGCATTTCACTAGACTTTTCTGTAAGTTCTGTTTGTGAAGTCCAACAATTTTCCGGGACTATCAAACTCCGTTTAAGTTTTGCAAATCAGATCAATTGTTCCGGAGATGAGGCGTAGGTACATTTTGCGTAGGTACATATATGTATCTTATAGAGCTCCCAGCATTCTTCGCCTTTGAATATACACTAGTTATTCCCTGTCAGTTCCGCATTCCGATGTCACTTTAAATGCAGACTGCCGCGAGGCAGTGCCTAGTGGATAGACTGTACCGCCAGCTAGCGCGCCTAGTGGATAGACTGTACCGCCAGACAGCGCGCCTGAATGATAGACTGTGCCGTGAGGCAGTGCGCCTGGAGGATAAACTGTACCGTACGGTAGTGCGTACGGAGGATAGACTGTGCCGTGAGACAGTGCGCCGAGAGAGTAGACTGTACCGCCAGATAGTGCGCCTTGATGTTAGACTGTACCGCCAGACAGCGTGCCTGGTGGATAGACTGTACCGCAAAGCAGTGCACCTGGAGGATAAACTGTACCGTACGGCAGTGCGTACGGAGGATAGACTGTGCCATGAGACAGTGCGCCTGGAGCTTAGACTTTACCGCCAGACAGCGCGCCATGGAGGGTAGACTGTACCGTAAGGCAGCGCACCCTGAGGTTAGACTGTACCGCCAGGCAATGCACCTTGTGGATAGACTGTGCCGTATGGCAGTGCGCCTTGAGGTTAGACTGTACCGCCAGACAGTGCGCCTGGTGGATAGACTGTACCACCAGACAGCGCGCCTTGAGGGTAGACTGTACTGTAAGGCAGTGCGCATAGTGGATAGACTGTACCATAATGCAGTGCACCTAGTAGATAGACTGCACCGCCAGACAGCGTGCCTGGTGGATAGACTGTACCGTAAGGCAGTGCGCCTAGTAGATAGGCGCACACGGCAGTCTATCCTAATGGGCGCACTGTCTCACGGCAGTCTATCCTACAGGCGTGCCGCCTCGTGGTACATACAGTCTATCCTCTAGGCCTAGGCGCAATGCCTGACGGTACAGTCTATTGGCCAGGCGCCCTGCCTTGCGGCACAATCTAACCTCGAGGTGCACTGCCTTCCGGTACAGTCAATCCATCCAGGCGCACTACCTTACGGCACAGTCTACCATCCAGGCGCAATGCCTCACGGTCACGGCACAGTCTAACCTCCAGGCGCACTGATTGGCGGTACAGGCTAACATCAAGGCACGCTGACTGGCGGTACAGTCTATCCACTAGGCTCACTGCCATACGGCTCAGTCTATCCACATTCCACAAGGTGCATTGTCTGGCGGTACAGTCTACTCTCTCGGCGCACTGCCTTACGGTACAGTCTACCCTCCAGGCGCGCTGTCTGTCGGTAAAGTCTAAACTCCGGGCGCGCTGTCTGGCGGTACAGTCTATCTACTAGGCGCACTGCCTTACAGTACAGTCTACCCTCCAGGCGCGCTGTCTGTCGGTAAAGTCTAAACTCCGGGCGCGCTGTCTGGCGGTACTGACTAACCTCAAGGCGCGCTGTCTGGCGGTACAGACTAACCTCAAGGCGCGCTGTCTGGCGGTACAGACTAACCTCAAGGCGCGCTGTCTGGCGGTACAGTCTAAACTCCGTGCCGTATCGTTTGGGTGATAGACTGCGCCGGAAAATGACACGCCTGGAGGATAGACTGTACCGGACTAAATCATTTGCGACAGGTATATAAGTACAACCTGCTCTCGATGGGGATGCGTGGGAAGGCGGTTGCGTGGGGGGGGGGGAGTGGAAGAGCCCAACGCGTCCATAAACCTCGACAAGCTTTTCGACTATTCGTTAGATGAAATGCCAAACTTTACAATATAAAAATGCCAGCGTACAGGCGTCTACATATAAGAAGTTTCGTTTCAGCATACCATTTCAGCTCTTTTCTTTGGCATATGTAGGTACTAAGCATCGAAAAAGGACGGAAAAATAAGAGCTTAGAAAAGCATTAACTGAAGTTCAACACTAGGCTGGGTTGGGAGGTGGTAAATGGAACTGAATTCAAAATGTTAAGCTGTTTGGGTAAAAAAATATTTTTAAGCTGATTATGTCAATGATCTTCATAAATCATTAGGACATGATAATGAATAGCAAGTTACGAATACCGACCAATACGCTGAGTAAATATCTAGTGCCCTTATGTAACGTGATGCCAGAGGAGTAGACATTGGAACAAAGCACCACATGAGAAAGACGCTGCTAAAATGCGCTGCGGTAATGGATTTCACCTGTTGCCGGTATATCACCTGTTTGGTAGAGAAAATGACCACCCTTATACGAGAACACGCCAATCACTTAGACCTCCATCGGACAATAACACAAATGGATTTATGGGAGCGTTTTGTGTTGGAGCCCTACTGCACGTCTGCAAAAGATGATAGTGTCGGGCGGCCACTTGAACCCTAATACGGGGCGAAGCATTACACTTACCGAATGGGGGAGAGCTGACGATGGCACTGATCGAGAGGGGTTCTTTTGCTCGGCCGTGGGTATCATTCTACTTGACAAGGGTACTGCATTGTCCAGTGTCCAGGATGAATATGTATTGGTACTGCAGTGTCCAGGGGATGCTGCACTGTCACTGTCCAATGTCCAGTGTCCACTGTCCGCTGTTAAGTGTCCACTGTCTACTGTCCCCTGTCCACTGTCCAATGTCCACTGTCCACTGTCCACTGTCCACTGTCCACTGTCCACTGTCCACTGTCCACTGTCCCCTGTCCCCTGCCTTTTGTCAACTGTCTACTATCTAATGTCGCTGTCCCCTGTTCCCTGTCCCCTGTCCACTGTCTACTGTCTAATGTTCACTGTCCCCTGTCCACCTTCCGCCGTCCACTGCTCCCTGTCCAATTTTAGACCGGCACTCACCGAGGGAGACCGGTGCTGCCACGCGGTGCGCCGCTGTCGGTGACACAGACGTCTTCCTTTAGGAGCGCTCACCGGACCCCACCGTGATGAGGACCGAGGGCGGGCCGAGACCCGCGTCCGACGAGCGGAGGCACCAGGCTGGAACACGGGGGTAGCGGGACAATGGTGCAGCGCAGTGGGCAGAGGAACATTCTGGTAGCAAGCTTAACCCGCGCCCCGTAGGGGGGGGGCGAAACGGCCCCCCCCGTCCTTTTCCGTGGATATCTCCTAAACGGCTGCAGATATCGCCATCAAATTTTCAGGCATCAATTTTACACATTGTGACCAAAAACTTTTCCAGATAGGTTGGCCACAGATGACGTTAGAATGACGTCATTTTCTCCCATTTTCGACCGAAAAAGAGCTTCACGAGAAGAGCTGTCAGGCCTACAGCTTTGAAGATACAGAAAATAATCGAGACACAAAAGGTGTAGAATTAACAACGCTACAAAACTGCCATCTCAGATTTTTGAAATTTTTGAATTTTGACCACTAAAAATCAAAAAGTATTTTTTTGGATATATTAGCCAAAAAATCCAAAAAGGTTTTTGGAGCTTCGAAAAAACGGTATGTATGATAGTACTTATCGTCTTCTATCTACATACCAAATTTCAGAGCGATATCTCTTTTTTTTGGCCAAGTTATAGCGAAAAAAAACTGTTCAAAAATGATGACGTCAAATTTATGGCATTTCTAGACAACGTAGGGCAAAACGAAGGCCACCATTAGACTCCCCGTGACGAGTTGCATCGAATCGATACCCATTTTATGCAAAAATATCAACTTTGAAATTTGACCTAGTTTGACCTGACCTTGACCTGACCTTTACCAGAACGTAGCCTAAGCTAACCCCAAAGGCTGCCTGACCCACATAATCGCATTTGTCATGTAAAATGGACCATAAAACATGCATCACACGACACTTTCATAAATTGACCCCCAGTGACCTGACCTCTGTGACCTGACCTGGTATCAGTGACCTCAGATAGCAAAGTATGTGCTTAGCGAACAATTCACCATCGATGATTTTCAATAACTTACCAATTTACTTGATTTCAGAACACTCTTCAAATGCCTGTGAAGTGTGAACGGTGAAAATCCTACATTTGACCTGACCTGTGACGTTATCGGTTTGACCTAGGCCAATGAAACTTGGCCACAAGTTAGTTCCCCGGTGGGGCTATCAAACGCCGTTTGAATTTTGAAAATCGGCCCGTAAATTTCCGAGATCGTAGGGGGTGCCGAAACGCCCCCCCCCCCCCTACGGGTGGTAGGGTCCACTGATAGCCCTACGGGACGCGGGTTAAGTTTACAAACGCAAAGACCTATATGGAACAATACATGCACATTACCATTGTTCTATGTAACTGCATATTCATTTTATATGCAACTCAAACAGACTGTCCCTATCACTCGAGTGTCAGGAAATTAGCAGTAGGTGCTTTTCTGCTGCGTAGAAATATAATAATACACATGTCATCATAGGCGGCGGAACGGGGAGGGCACCGGGGCACCGTGCCCCCCTTTGATTTTGGCATTTTAACATTAGCCCTATGGGCGTTGCATGGAAAGAATGGGACCAAAAGTCGGCAGTGCCCCCCTTAATTGAAGGTGTTCCGCCGCTACTATGCATGTCATTAGAGATGTGCTATGATCCGGACGTTAGAAACAAAGGCTGTCTTTTATTTCTTGGATTGGATTTTTTATAGTGCAGACCTTTCGACGATAATGAAAATGTTATCTGAATTTTGAATCAAATAAGATGTTCAGGCCATGACAAAACAGCGTACGGCTCTCGCGAGATTAACCGGTAGGTTTTGCTCTTTTACATTTCCGGTTATTCTCAGAAACTAATCGATCTACGATGAAGCCATTTTACACGATCATGGCCGGCTTGTTACCCAACAGGTCGATCGCATCTTCAACACTTAACCCGCGCCCCGCTGGGGGGGGGGGGCAGAATCTGCCCCCCTCCCGTTTTTCGCCAATAACTTCTAAACGCGTTACGCCAGCGACGTCAAACTTTCAGTACCTTATCATACATCAATTTGACACGTTCCCTGAAAATTTGAGCGAAATCCGTCGGAAAATTGTTGAGAAATTGACGTTTTAGTGACGTCATGTTCGCCATTTTCGCCTCAAAAACGGCAAAATTTCAAACGCCGCTAACATCTTCATTTTTAAAGGAATCAAGACGTAACAAAAAAGGTTATACGTGATTCTACTTTGTCTATCAAACGGCTATCTCGGGTTTTGAAAATTTTGGAATTTGGCCAAAATTTTTCCAAAAAACTGACTTTTTAGGGAAAATATTTATAAAATCCAAAATTTTGAGTTTATCGAAAAAACCGGAATATATGTCAAAGAAGTGGTCTATGTGCACCTACATACCAATTTTTAGAAGAATCGGTTCAAAAATGTGGGAGTTATTCAAAATTTTATGACGTCACGACACACAATTTTTTTTGAAAAATGATTTTTTTTGGAAGTTCTAGACCTCGTACGGAAACAAAAATAGCACCATTCGATTCGCCGTGAAAAACTGCATCGGATAGACACCTTCTTAGGCCTTAACAACCAACTTCGAAATTTGACCTCACTTGACCTGACCTTGACCTGACCTCGACCTGAAATTCATCCAGAGGTGGTCCATATCACTTATTGAGTGTGCCTAT